TTTTTTTTTTTTTTTTTTTTTTTTGTAGCTTTGATGTAAACTTGAGGTCCTATATTTAATTAGATATGTTGGTAATTATATAGGGATTGGGGCAGGCGATTTATGAGGCTGTATCCACAATATACATCATGGGACAACCTTAAAGATCCAGACCGTCAACTTGTTATTGGCTATGTGTCTCCCGATTATTTTACTCACTCCGTGTCTTATTTCATTGAAGCGCCCCTCGCCCATCATGATTATGCAAAGTACAAAGTTGTCGTCTATTCGGCAGTTGTGAAGGTATACAGTTATAATGTTGCGAACTTTTTACATACTTATTATGCTTGACTATGTACATATTGTTTTAATTATCACTTTTCATCATGTATAATTTGCTATCCAAGCATTTCCCCTTGCCATTTTAATGGCTCTAAAAGCGCCATTTCTTGACATTCCAACGACTATCAAACTGCATCGGTAATATAGCAAAGCTTACCAGTTCACAGGTTCTTCAAATTCTTCTCTTGTAAACCTAGCCGTGATTGTCAACCTCTAATGTTTATTCATCCAGAACTATCATTAACTCGACTCGAAGTTTAATAACTCTCCTAGCCTTGTCTCTTTCAACTACAATGGCTCTGGAGTTACAATGTGGATTGTTTCATATGATTTTACAGGCCGATGCAAAAACTATTAGGTTTCGGGACAAAGTCTTAAAACAAGGTGGGGTTTGGAGGGATATATATGGACTTGATGAAAAAAGGGTTGCAAGCATGGTCAGGGAAGACAAAGTGGATATATTGGTGGAGCTTACTGGCCATACAGCTAATAATAAGTTGGGGATGATGGCGTGTAGACCTGCGCCTGTTCAGGTTCGTTGAAAGATGTATTTTTTGTTCTTTGGTTGACTGACAATTGCTTCACTTACTTTATATTTTCGTGTCCTGCTGTGTAAAATGGTTGTCTATGTATCGTTAAATATTGTTTGTATATAATTGCTACGAGGCCGTCACTAACCGATGATACCTGCATTGATGTTTTCGAATTTTATTTACAGATGTTTTTGACATTTGTCCTTGTATTAGTGCCAGTTGGAAGAGCTTTTCATAATCTTGTTTGGCTTGTTTTATGAACTTTTGATGCATGGTGCTGGGTTTTATTTAGGTAACATGGATTGGCTACCCGAACACAACTGGTTTGCCCACTATCGATTATCGGATTACAGATGCGCTGGCGGATCCTCCCAATACAAAACAGAAGTATGTCTCGTGTACCTACTAATTTAACGACAAAACTCGTGGAGTTAGTTTTTCTTTACAGCGTGATCATGCCATTATTTATCACAGGCACGTCGAGGAGTTAGTTCGGTTGCCAGAATGCTTCCTTTGCTATACACCTTCTCCTGAGGCTGGTACTGTGTCCAGTGCTCCAGCTCTTGCTAATGGCTTCATCACATTTGGTAGCTTCAATAATCTAGCTAAGGTACAGATTAACAGCAATTATGTACTTGTCTTCATGCATTATTTCCCTTTTTTTATATTTTAGAATTATAATTTTTTTGGTCATTGCCTTTTTCGGTTCCTTTTGCCTCGTTAGATAACGCCTAAAGTCTTACAAGTTTGGGCAAGGATTCTATGTGCCATACCGAATTCTAGACTCGTCGTGAAGTGTAAGCCTTTCTGTTGTGATAGTGTGAGACAGAAATTTCTATCAATCTTGGAGAACCTTGGTTTAGAATCGCAACGAGTCGATCTTCTTCCTCTCATTCTTCTGAACCATGACCATATGCAGGCCTACTCCTTAATGGATATTAGGTAAAGTTTGAGAAGAGTTTTTACCTCATATTATGTGGTTTGATGTTTTCTTTTAAATACGTTATATTTTTGCCATTATTCGCTTAATGACACGGTACAGTTCTCGATTTCTTCTCGTCGTTTATGAGATTTTTAAGGTTTCTTATTTGTTTTGTTTTTTTTTTCGTGTTGTAGTTTGGATACTTTTCCGTATGCTGGAACGACAACTACATGTGAATCATTGTATATGGGAGTTCCATGTGTAACAATGGCTGGATCTGTTCATGCTCACAATGTTGGCGTTAGTCTTCTCACCAATGTTGGTGAGTAACCATTATCTTTGTTCGTCGTTCGTCGTTCGTCGTTCGTCGTTGTTTGAATCTTCATCCTTTCCTTGTGGTCTGGCTTTGGTTGATCTAACAATTACCAAACTAAACAGAGAGGGAATCATAAATGAAGTATATTTTGTAGGAATTAGACTAAATGCCTTGAACGAAACTCATCCCGAATATCAGTTACATTGTTTCGCGTTCGTTTCCTTCTCCAATCGATGTGGGATCCTCCAATCCACCCTTTCTTCGGAGCTCAGTGTCCTTGCTGACACACCTCATGTCCTCCCCCTTTAGGGCTCAGCCTCCTCGCTAGCACATCGCCCAGTGTCTAGCTCTGATACCATTTGTAACGATTCATCCCTTTCAGGCTTCCTCTCAAGGTTTTTAAAACACGTTTGCTAGGGAGAGGTTTCCACACCCTTATAAAGAATGGTTCGTTCTCCTCCCCAACCAATGTGGGATCTCGCAGAAACTCTCCATTGTTTTTGTAGATGGAGTCCCGATAGGATTTTAATAGAAGTTTGGATCTCTTTTGAACATTAACATTGGTGCTTAAAGACGGAGGGGCCGTAACAATAAATTACAAGAACTGTAGACTGATTCAAAACATCTTGTTGTCTCTCGTTTCGTTTTCAAGTTTATATGGTCGATCTTAATCTGAATACTTAGCATTTTTGCATGATGTTTCTAAACAGGTTTAGGACACCTTGTAGCTAAAAACGAGGAAGAATATGTAAAGTTGGCATTGCAACTAGCATCTGATGTAACAGCTCTTTCTAACTTAAGAATGATTCTCCGGAATCTCATGGCGAAGTCTCCCGTTTGTGATGGCCCAAATTTCATCCTTGGTCTGGAGTCCACATATCGTAAAATCTGGCACAGGTACTGTGAAGGAGATGTGCCATCATTGAAACGCATAGAAATCCTACAACAGCAAGAAGCTATGGAAGAGCCAATCACTCCGACATCTATCAAATCCAACGGTCATTGTCCTGTTTCCTCCGACGCCCTCGACGATTCCCCCTGTGGAGAAAATAGAGATCCGTTGCATCCGACACCCAAAAAACAGGCAAGCTCGATCGAAACATGAATTTGATTGGTAATTGTGGAGTTCTTTTAAAAACTTTACAGGGAGCAGGTGAGGCCTGTGTAGCAGCATGTCTGCAGAACGAGGTTGCAAACAATCGATACGTTCGATGTTTGCCTGGAGAAACGTATAGGTTTGGGAACTTACTGTTAGACATAGTGTACTGCATTTTTTTCGCTCACCGAATCATAGAGAATTAGGTGTATATCATTAGAGGTTTTGGTGTTCTTCAATGATGGTGCCTTGAAAATTTGAAATGGCTTGTGTAGGAAGTGTCTGGTTGGGAACGTTCTGAAGTTTGTTATTAACCCCATTAGATGCTGTTATTGGCGATGCATTTTCCATGGAAGAAAGTAAAATGAGTATCATTAGGTGTTAGATCTTTGAGAATTGTAGATATCATTTGGGTTTTGTTGGAACTCTCTTAATGGGAATATTTGCCTATTAACTCACTGTGTTCGTTCGATCAAACATTCATGTCGAGTCAAAATTTTATATATATATATATAAATTTTGAATATATTTTTAACTTTAAATTTGTTCTAAATATATTTTTATTAAAATAAACTACGACTAGATATTGTTAATGATCATACATTAGGTTAAGTTAATAAAAATATTCCCGGACTTTTTATTTATCTTAAAAACTTTCAAAATTTTCAATAACACAATTAAATTTTAAAAAATTTATCTTAACCAAGATAGGAGTATCTTTTTAATAAACAAAATCGAGTAGGAAATTAAAAAAATAAAAGAAGGATCTTGATCATATTGGATTAGGATTGGTTAGCTACTTCCCCAACTCATCTTCCTTATCATGCATCACTTTCCCTACCTATTACTGTTATTCAAAAGAACATAAGAATATGCAGAAAAAAAGGTCCTCTGTTTCTTGAATCCCAAATGGAGAAGGTAATTTAATCATCATCATCAACAACTCCCTCCACTTCATCTGCTCCATTCACTAATCAAATCCCCTGTTCCTCTCTCTCTATTTAAATCCCAACTCTGTTCATCATTCCCCACCACTCACAGTCTCCTATTCTTAAAAAACTCGAATCTCAACAACAAACAGAGCAAAAATGAAGAACGCCGAATCCACCGCCATTGACGTTGCCCCTGACACCAACCACAGCGGCCCAATTGCCAAGAAGAAGAGCACGACGCCGCTTCTGGCGGCGGCGCCGGTTCCTGTCCGGTCAGACAGGGGAACCCACCGGATGAAACGTGGGCTTGCCATTTTTGACATCATTCTGAGAATTGGTGTCCTTGCAGCTGCGCTGGCGGCGGCTGCTACCATGGGAACTAGTGAAGAGACTCTGCCGTTTTTCACTCAGTTCTTCCAGTTTGAAGCTAGCTACGATGATTTGCCCACTTTCCAGTTGGGTGTTCTTCCAAAAAAGATTACTTTTTTTAAGTTTTGATTAAGTTTGGTTTATATAATAAATCATTTAGCGTTTGAATTTTTCTTGAATTTGGCAGGTTTTTTGTGATAGCGATGGGGATAGTTGCAGGATATGTGATGCTATCAATTCCATTCTCAATTGTTTGCATTGTTCGTCCACATGCCGTTGGGGCTCGCCTTCTCTTGTTGATTTTGGATGCCGTAAGTTCCTTTCTTGTTCTTCAAAAACAAACTCAAATTTAACCAAATACCCTTTATAATGGTGTTGAAATCTCTAGTTTTAAAAGCCTTCGGGGAATCAGGAAAATGAAAACTCAAAGATAACAATATCTAGAGAACTAAACACCTTTATAAAATGTGAAAACTCTCTTTAGTAAATAGTAAATAGCGTTTTAAAAATCTTGAGGAGAGTCTGAAAGGGAAAGTCCAAGGAAGACAATATAGAACCAAACAGGCTCTGAAAATCTCTCTTGATAGTGTTTTAAAAATCTTGAGGGGAGCTTGAAAGGGAAAGCCGAGACAATATCTGCTAGAAAACAAAACACCACGATGCGAAAATCTCTCTCTAGTAGATAGTATTTTATTAAAAAAAATTTAGTGGAGCCTGATAGGGAAAGCCCACAGAGACAGAATAAAACATAATTTATAAGTGAGTGAAAATCTTGATAGGAGTGTAAAAATAAAAAGTCCAAAAAGAACAATACCTACTAATGATCGAAACACTTTTTATAAAGGCGAGAAAATCTCTCTCTAGCCGACATCTTTTTAAAAAGTTTGAGTGAAGCTCGAAAGGAAAAACACAAAAAGGACCATACATGTTAGGGGTGAGCTAAAAACTTAGATTTTGCAGGTGGCTATGACGCTGAACACAGCAGCTGCAGGTTCGGCAGCAGCGGTGTTGAACATCGCTCATGCCGGGAACTCGAGCACGAACTGGCTGGCGATTTGCAACCAATTTGGGGACTTTTGTCAGCAGGCGAGTGGGGCTGTGGTGGGGGCGTTCGCCGGCGTGTTGCTGTTTCTTCTACTCATCTTGTTCTCTGCTCTGTCCCTCAAAAACAGCCATTGATCATATGATTACTCAAAAGTTTAAGGTTTTGGGCACTTTGGTTTGTGTGTTTGTTGGTGTGTTGTGGAATTGGGATATTTAAGAAAATTTGTATGTAATTTCTTCTCTCTTTTATTTTACAATGGTTGTTGGGTTTGACTTTGACTTATGTAAAAAGGGTTCATACCAAATTTAAGTACATCTTTAAATATTTGATTTTAAAAAAATTCTATATAAGTTAAATTAATACAAAATATTTTTAAAGAAAGTTAAAAAATATACTTACCCGTTAGTATATGAAAGTCAAACCGTGTTCAAATGTAAGCCTCTTGTTTGATGTTAAGAATATAGAAATAATGAAGTGCCCTAAAATTATTTAGAAAAAAACGGGTTTATTTTCTTATCTTTATTGGAGTGCAACACTTTAAGAAATGCATTCAAACGTGCTCGTTTGAATTTTTAACAGGTAAACTCGAAGTATCCTATATTGTAACATAAATAGCATAACTTTAGCCATATATTCAATTTTTCTTTTTCTATTACCTCAACAAAGCAGCTCGATCAATGGAGGAGGGAGTCAACAAGCGAGAATGGCTAGGTTGATAGTAGAGTTTTGCGTCGAATTTTAGCCTCTAAGAGTTGGCCATGAGGCAACAACCTCTAACGCCCCCACACCATTGCAGCAGCTCTACCGAGGCTCAGGAGTTCAGTTCAATTAAAGTTGTGCTAACTCGAGTTTCAATTTCTTTTACTCGGTGGTAAAAGACTACATGCCTTATCATTACGAAAAATAATTTAAGGTGAACTTTAGACTATTTTTAACCCAGGCAAACAAAAGAAAAAAAAAATCCTTGTAACCAAGAACATAACCTAAGTCAACGAGAAGCTCGATCTAAACCTAGGTCGATCTCGGGAGTGATTAAGAAGCTGAATAAAATTTTAAAAGGAATTAATAAATTTGCTTTGAAATATGTAATATTAGGACAAATTATTACCATTTTTCTTAGTTCTCTAGATATTCGTATAATTTAGTTTTTATTTTTATTTATTTATATTATTATTAAAAGAAAGAGAAGGTAAAAGGGGGAGAGGGAGAAAGAAAGACCTAATTTGGACAAAAATTAAGAAAAGTCCAAAATCTTATGGAATGAAAAATTGAGATCAAGATTGAAGAACAAAAGTAATGTATTAATTTTACGCAGAGAAGGGAACTGCAAGTTGAAAGAATTCACGATCTATAATTCAGCTGCCCACTTTCCACCTTCATCAGATTAGTGTCCATTTTCGTTTCCCGCAAAGCTGATTTGGTCTCTCTTTAGCCGCTGTCACTTTCCCGGGAAAAGAACGGAAGGGCTGAGATTCAGGAGCGAAGGAATCCAAGGGTTTTAGATAACGAAGTCCTCCGTCGATCGAAGATGACTCAATCCGGAAAATTGATGCCGAATCTTGACCAGCAGAGCACCAAAATGCTTAATCTAACTGTGTTGCAGAGAATAGATCCTTTCATTGAAGAAATTTTAATCACCGCAGCCCATGTGACGTTCTACGAGTTTAATATCGAGACCAATCAATGGGTTAGTCGTACAACCTGCTATTTCATTGTTGTTCGGGTTTTATTCATAGCGAGGTTGAATTTGAATTGAAGATCTTATGTTTCTTGTTTCTTTTCGATCTATTGTGTAAATCGAATCGAATCAGCATTATTGGCATGATTAGCAAGGAAATTTTAGGAATTTTATTCCACGAAATAGTGTTTACAATTTCCTATTCTGTAATTCCTTCCAAGCTGATGGAAGGTGGTATATCTGGTTGTTTTCTTAATCTCGTTTCTGTATGGTTGCAGAGTCGGAAGGACGTTGAAGGATCTCTTTTCGTAGTGAAGAGGTTTTTTCATTACTTTTTTGTTTATTTGTTTTTTTTTTTTTTTTTTT